GTGTGTGTGTGTGTGTGTGTGTGTGTGTGTGTGTGTGTGTGTGTGTGTGTTTATTACCATTTTAGGACTGTTTCTGGCATAGCTACACACCTGCTTTTAAACCAGTAGTCCTTACAGGTACTAAAGACCAGTCCTAATGGGATGGAACTCCATGTTTGGGTTGAGGTTTGTTTTAGGTTAGGTCAAGTGTCAGGTTTAGGCTATAGAAATGAATGGAAGTCAATGCATGGTCCTAGTAAGGATAGAATTACAAACTTGTATGTGTTAATATGTCTGTCTGTCAGCAAACCAGCACCTAAAAACCTGAACATATTTTAATGAAACTTTTAGAAAGTAATAATTGCTTTTACATCTACAACTGATTAAAGTTGTTCAAGATGGCATGTGACCTTAGAAAACACATGTGTTAATATCTCTACTCATAATTTATCTGCTAACAGCTCACATAGACCTTGGTTTCAAACACTGACACACAAGACAGGTGAGTGATATGAATTATGTTGGATTTTAATTAATAAATTTTCTACAGAGCACTTAAAAACATTACGTCTGCTGACAGATGACGTAAAACTAATTAATCATATTTTTTATTGGAAACCTTGAAGTCCTGACAGAAACACAATCTGCAGAGTTTACACAGAATAACCTCTAGCTCTGCTGTAAGGACATCTGGAAACATCTGGACACCTAAAGATGCCCGAAGACAGCTGAAGACACCTGAGGACAACCGTGGACACCCACAGACACTGCAGAGAACCATGGCAGAGGTAGAACCCACCCAGCTTCATTCAGGTGGTTTTAACTCTGCAGCTGATTGTTTAACAGCAAAGAAAATAAAAATAATTTAAAAAAATCTGTTTTTTATTTTTAGTTTTCTTTCAACAGTGATTATCAGCACAGAGCGGTTCCCTTTCAGCTTTATAAGAAATGAAGGTGATGTTTGATTTGTGGAGTTTTGGTTTACCTGAAGATGAAGTTCTTCTCTTTGTTTTAGTCCGGATCCTCTTCAGACCTCCCTCTCCTTCAGAGCCCCGCTAACCTGGTTTTGTTTTTCAAAGTTTTGTAGAGATTTGACCTTTGAACCAGCTTTTCTTTGTGGGTTTTTTTGTTTCCACCAACGAATCTGAGTTGTCTTGTTTCTTTTTGTTAACTTGTCTTTTCCCAGAGTTGCAACTTAAACATGATTTTTCCTTCTTCCTGCAGCTTTGAGTCTTTGTCCGTCCCTCTGTCTGGCTCACATTCTTCCTCTCTTTACCAGATGTGAGGATTCTTGCTCACCCCTCTTAGTTTCCCTCCCCTTTCCCGTATTTTTTTTTTTTTTGAGTGGTCCCTCCTCCGACCCACAGAACTTGTCTCATATTTCTTTGTTCCAGGACTCTGACTCTCCTGTTTCCTGTATTCAGACAGGAAAAACTCCTGACCAAACGCTGACCTCAACTCTCACCATTTTTCATTTCACTTAGTTTTATTTAACAGTTTTAGTTGTTTCAATAACAACTACAGACCAGAAGATCAGTATCGTTATCTGATAAGCAGTGTAGGCCAAAATAACAGACTTTACAAGTAAAATAAATTAWTTATTACAAAATACTGGGGCATTAAATCAAATATGACTGTTTAACGCCACCTCTATAGTACAGCTAGAGTATTGCATAAACAGGAAAGTATTCACCATATTTATTTTTTACATTACTCAATGCCTTTGCTGTGTCTATTTGTATAAAAACCTGCTGTGTATTTATAGTAATTTGTATATTTATTCATGGTGGGAGACAGAGTGGTCCAGGTGTCACACTGCTGTGATCTGTGTTTCTCAGGTTGGGGCCACCAGGGGTCGATAAAGAGGCTTCAGAAAGCTTATATAATTAATTGTTTTGAAAAAATGATTGTAAAATTGAACCTGTTTTTCAATAATAATATACTGAAATGTTATTTAGGAAAGCTTAAGAGGTTTGTTTTATATTTTATGATCTTATCAGCAACGTTTTGTTGAAAAGTTGCTTTTTCAGTGGGAATATAATACAGTGTTTAAAACATGTTAGTTATTAAAATTATTTCACTAAACACATGCTATAATTATTGAATAGTGAATAAAAGTGAGAAAACACAGTCTAAAAATTGATGTTTTTTTCACATACTGTATTTTGTAGCATTGTTTGTGAGTTTGCATTGGGGGTCTCCGGCCAGAAGGGAATGCTGTTTGGAGGGCCAGGGCATGGAAAAGTTCATGAACCCTTGAGTTTAGAAACATGGGGTGTGCACAGTTCGATAAATCTGAATACTTTGTGAATATATACTTTTTGAATTTTGCACAGAGTTTCAGTATAAAAGCTGAACTCTTTCATACAGGCTCCCATCACCAAGACTGAACCCTGCTGACCCACGAAGAAAGGGTGGGCAGGCAGATACATTTGGTATCCAGCATCGTTCTGTCATCATCAAAACCTTACGAACAATAAATACATAAGTAAATGAGTAAACTAATATCAACATCTGGATAGATCTATATCCCTACCTCAATGAAAAATGAACCTTGACTGAGGTCACTGAAAAACACCTGATATGGATCTGATATAAGACCACATATAGAAAAGACCTGGGTTGAATCTGTTTAAAAATATTATGACATATTTGTCATTTTCAGACTGCAAAAATAAATAAATTAATTAATTAATCAGGTTTGGGTCACATGAAGGCATAAAAATAGGATTTGGGCTACATTTACCTGCTATTTAACCATATATTGTTCGTTGTCAGACTTGGTGAGCCTTGAAACACAGTAGAGTGCAGCAGTTATCTATAGCAGTGTTTCCCAAAGTTGGGGTCAGGACCCAAAGTGGGGTCCCGAAAAATCAAGGTGGGGTCTTGAAAAGATTTTCTGAATTAATTCCATTTTTGCCTTGTTACAAATGAGTGAGGTTAGTATGTTTAAAATGGATAAATGTAGTACAAAAAATATTACAATGCCCTTGTTTTGTTGCCCTGATACAAATGTTTATCATCCAAAAATAGCTGGGGGCACAGGTCTCTGCTACTGTTATTTTGTGGGTCAAAAGCTAAAACGTTTGGGAACCACTGCACTTTGGTTCCCAAAGTTGGGCTTGGGACCCAATTATGGGTCATGAAGCACCTTGGATAATCTCCAGAAATCAATTTAAAGGGTAATAAAATAATTGCTGATGTAATATTTTCCCTATAATTATTACAAAAACACAAAATAAGTAAAAATAAGTATTTATATTTGTGTACAAGCTGTTTAGATTGTCAAAAAGCCTGTGTTTTTAGGGTTATTAATGAAGTTCATTTACTCAGACCAGTAATATTTGGGGTCACAAGTTTTTGCCATGGATATTTTGTGGGTCAGAAGACAAAAAGTTTGGGAACCACTGATCTATAGGGTGCCACCAAGGAGGTTCTATAGAACTGGAGTGCACAAAAAAACACCTGACTGTGTGATCGGCTGGAGAAGATAACGGCTAACGCAAAACGGTCAAGAGTCTGGATTTCCCATTACTGTACATGTTGACAACAGAGCAGAAAAAAGGACTGACAATGAATAAATCATAAAAACTATTAATAATAATATTAACCCAATTATTATTAATATTTTACAGTTTATATAATCCATCTAACTTGCGACCTGTCCAGGGTGTACCCCGCCCCTCGCACTGTGACTGCTGGATATGGGCACCAGTGACCCACGCGACCCTGAAAAGGAAGAAGCGTGTACAGAAAATGGATGGATGGATAGATAATCCATCTAATGTTTTAATAATGCCAGAAAAGCTGTTTGTGTTATGGATTTATTAACAGAAGATAAACAGGAAAACGTCACATTTCACAACACAAGTCAGCAGATTTGATCTTATTTAGCTCAATGTGATCTGAGCAGAACATAATGTAACAGTTTAAAATTAAAATAATCTTATAAAGTCCATGTAATCACTGTTATTTAATGAACTGGTTAGCAGATATTAGCTTGTGGAGCATACAGTATATACAGAGTGTAGCTCTGTTTAATCATACTACAATTTAACAAAAAATTAAATATTACTTTGTCCTCTGATTAATATTTAGACCTACAGAGTGTAAAATAATATTATAAATGTCTGATTAATATTTAGACCTACAGAGTGTAAAATAATATTATAAATGTGAGTATTTTTAGGTTTCTGTTAGAGGAACCTGATTTGTTAAGAAGATGGTTAGTTAATAGAGACAAGTTTCATCCTATAACCAGAGAACATTTTCTAACTGTTGACTGGTAAATATAAATATTCTTATAAATATAAATATTCTTATTTTTATGACAGTAAGAATAAATAATAAATATACTTTTTTACTAGCTGAATCATCATTTTTCAACTAGCTAAAGTCTAAGTTACAGGGTGACTTCAGGTCTGGTTTAGATCATTGTTACTTATAAATTATATATTTTTCTGGTGTAAATCTGCTGTTTTACATGATTGTTGAATGAAATTAACACAGTTATTAATTTATTGTAAAAACATGACAGATAATCTGTGGAACAGATCCAGTTCAGCTGCTGTTTATCTATTAGTTTCTATGGTGGCTGTGAGCTGTTGCCCTGTTTGGTCTCAGTTTCTGCTCCTCCATGTTGTCACAGATGTTACCAGTGGACAGGATGGGCGAGACTCAGTCTAGTGATCTTCATATTTAAGTCTATGGGTGCCACGTGTAAAATAAAAACCAAAAAATGTCACTGATACATTGTTTAGCTCAAATTTTCCACTAACATGTTATTTGTTTAGCTCACTGTTCTTACATTTAGCTAATGTTTACTAAATGTTAAATAACATCTAAATATTCGATCCTAAAAAAGTTAAATCTTAAATGTTGAAGTTTACACTTAAGTATTTCAGAATAGAACACAGCCTTTGCCATTGGTGCTCATCTGAAGTTAGTACATCATTTTCCAGAGAAAATAGCAACCACTAGCACTCCAACACATCTAAAGCTTCCCTACAAGACATCAAACTTGCAGTTGCAGCTTGTTTTTGAGCTGCACTCAAACTGCAGGTACAATCCAATGAACACAACTTTAATTTACATTTTAAATGCCATTTTCAACAGTCGATATTGTCTCAAAGTGATGACATCACAAAAAAAGCTGTGCACTAACAGCAAAAGCTGTGTTCTATTCTGAAATTCTTGAATATAGCCTTTATTATTTAGTTGCAACATTTAAGATGTACTAATTTTTTCATTCAGATTTACTTATTTTGATTTAGGATTTGATATTTACATCTAATATTTAAATGTAATATCTAGCAATAGTATTTGTAATTTAAAACAGGTCTCATGGTCAAATGAGACAATTGTGTTTCAGTGTGTACAAATAAAGGAAATGAAATTAGTAGAAATGAGCAAAATGCAAGAACAGTAAGCTAAATAATAACAACATGTTAGAGTGTTTTTTTATTAGAAATTTACACTCAGAAAATAAACTAAATAATGAAAATTTGTTAGTGACATTCTTAAACATTGTATTTTACACTTGGCGCCCAATAGACT